TAGAGGAACAAGACCTCCATCTTGGGAGAAGGATCTCTCTATATCACAAGACCTGCATCTTGGGAGAAGGATCTCATCATAGATCATCAAGCCATCACCTCTCTTTGGGATTTGGTAAGAACCCTACCTTGTTACTTGTTTCTCTTTGTTGAGTGCCAGCGGATGTAAGCTTCTTGGTGGCCAGTGATCTCGCTGTGCCTGAGTAATGAGTGGAACTGTAGTGTTCCAAGCTAAAAAAAGGATAGCTCCTGACGTCTGAGTGACCTTTTTTAGGGATGGAGAGAGAATGAGTCAATTGTGTGGCAAAAAAATTGTGGCACACACAACATTGTTCTCTTTTTCTTACATTCAAATCCCTCATTATTCATTGGTCACAATAGTTACATCACTGTTGCCATGAAGGTTAATTCATGGGCTATTACATTAGCTTCTCCAGGACAATGTTCATAGATTACATGAGAAAAATCCGTGGACATGTGATAACAGTCTTCAAAGACAGCTGCCGCAACCCGCAAGACCAGCAAACGAACCTCCTTCATGCATAGTTGTGATTACATCCGCGTTATCAGAGTTGATTATCATTCGGTTACGGCTGACAGATTGAGCTAGATTCAAACCAAATCCCAGCGCCATAGGTTCTGCCATAAAAGCATCCACACAAACATCAAGTTTCTCATTCATTGTTGCTATGAGGGTACCTCTATCATCTCTCAGTATTGCACCAATTACACCTTGAAGAGAATCAGAGTCAAAAGCGGCTTCAACATCCAATTTCACATATCCCTTGATCGGTTTAGACACACTTCAGTTTTGCCTTCCGAGAGTAAGCAACCTGAAAGTTTGCTGCTAGAGACCGGACTGAAGTGCTGATTTAGCTTGGCGCTTGGACAGCATCGTCCGGAGATATAAATTTTATTCAGACGATGCCTATGTATCGATACCAAGATCTGTTAGGGCCCGCTTGGATTAGCGTTTTCGCTTGTATCCGGCTGGTTTAGAATACAGACCTGGACTGGTCGTTTTGTTTCCAAGCAGAAAATTAGCTGTGACCGGTATTTTACATGTGTAAAATAAATACAGGTGTAAAAGTTTACACCCATTCCAAGCGGAGCCTTAATCGGAACAAATGCTAGTACCACACTGTAGTCAGGGTCATCAAATCAAAATTATTCAAGCAACGTCTATACCAAGATCGTTTCATAAAATTGCAAGCTATACTTACAGCCAGGGATCCAATCTGAATTACCAGAGCTAGAATTAGAACTATCCCAGCTGCTCAGGAACCGTGGATCCAACACATACGGCGGGCGGTGTCGCCTGGCAAGACAAACACCCGGCAACGGAACAGAGCCTACACATGGCGGCGACGAACCTCATCAAATCAAGCGAGCAGCACATAGGCGAGGGATCCATTTGTTTCTCACACCGCGGAAATGACAGACATCTACTGACTATAATCTCGGCTCTCGGATCTCCTGGAGCGAGCACGGTCGCCGTGGCGGGAACGGCTGCTGCCGCCATGATGCCTCTGCTCCCGATGAGATCGATGACGAGGGCTGTGGTCTGCTTCAGCAGAGGTTCCACCTCTTCTGGCACTGCCATCCTCCGTGCCAGGCGACACCTCTCCTGGCTCTCGGCTCTTCCTCCGCTTGTGATGACCGCGGCCGTCGTATTCGGCTCGGCTTCTATGCCTGCTGTGGCTGCTGGTATCTCCAAGCTCTCGGCTTTTTCTTCGCTTGCGGCGACCGGCATCGTCTTCAGTTGGGCTTCTCCGCCTACTGTGGCTCCTCCTGATATCTCCAGGCTCTCGGCTTCTTCTTCGCTTGCGGTGATGACCGCCGTCGTCTTCGGCTGGGCTTACATGCCTATCATAGCTGCTGATATCGCCCTGCTCTCGGTGGCCTTTTTGCTTGTGATGGTCACCGCCGTCTCCAGTTGGGCTTCTCTGCCTGCTGTAGGTGCTTGCCTCCCTAGATGACCTCATCCTCCTTTGCGATTCTTCCCTGTGGTCATGGCTGCTTTTGCGCCTGCGTGGGCTGCTTTCGTCTTCAGTTGGACTTCTCTGCCTTCTGTAGGTGCTATCAGCCCTGTCCTTGGATATTCTCCTAGGAGGCGGCGACTCTTCCCTGTCAACATTGCCTCCTTTTCGTCTAGGTGGTGGGGGAACCTGTGATGGTGGGAGTTGACAGCGTTATTCCACTCCACTCCATGGCAGTAAGCAGGCATGGAATAACTAAACCATACCCCAATTACAGCACACATGAATGTAAATGTAAGGCATATCATAGCACAGCAGAGTGAATAAAAATCCAGTCTGCTTTGTGAGAACAAACAAATGCAATGGTTAACTTTCCAGTTCTCCTTATGTCCTCATGTAGGTTCAATAATGACAACAATGGGTGAATATGTGGGCTAAAAGTACATACAAGAAGTATTACCCCTTTCTTCTTAATATTTCAAGATAATAACAGTTTTACTCTCTCTTTGTAATTTTTATGCATAAATGTTTTCTCTGGAAATATCATGAATTTGCTCTTTGCATCTTTTACCATTTAAAGATTAAATTGACATGTTCACATTTCTAACAGGGTTAATCTTAGAACATTTTAGTGGTAATACCTCGTAAAATTAAACAACATCCCCCTTCAGAAGTACTCCCTCCGTTCCAAATTACTCGTCGCAGAAATGGATGTATCTAGAACTAAAATACATCTAGATACATCCATTTCTGCGACGAGTAATTCGGAACGGAGGGAGTACAAGGTAAGAGTGGCAAAGTAAAAAAAATACCTCAAAACGTGTCATATACCGTCCCTCAGGTGGTGGTGGGATCCCGAGCTTTTTGAGTTCATCATAAGGAATCGGCCGCCTGTGTTTTATAGAAGTGCACATTGTTACTGCATGCCCAAAAACTCCAAAATGCAATTCGCCCAAGTGTCAAGGCTCTTCTAGTAAGAAATATTGAAATGTATTAATAGATATGCTTGGGTTCATACAAGGGAGCACGAAATGGCCTCTCTCGACCTCCAAACCGAAGCTGGCCAGACTCTTTCTTCCCTCCAAGTCCTCCTCCTATAAAATGACAATTCAAAGTAGCATGAAGATGATCTCAAGTATTCTGCCTTCTATATTACACTTCAGCAGGGTCACATACCTAGCCTCCTTGGTATCCATCCAGGCATAAGTTGCTGCCTATAGTAGTCTACGATCACTTCACTGCCATCAATAGGAATGGTGTGCATCCTGGAATAGTTTTCCTTTAGATTTCACATATACCTAGAAGACAGTAGTAGCAAACAAACAGGCAAAGGAACCTGAAAACATTGTGCAGCCAATACCTCATAGGCACGGCGCATCTCTTTGTCTGTTTCATACTCTACAAACGCATAACCACGGGAAGCACCAGTAACTGCAAATAAATAGTATGATCAATACAAACTAGAGTTGCAGAAGGCAAATACATAGCATGATCAGTACAAACTAAAGCCACAAAATGAAGCAATGATGTTTATTGTCTACTGGCAAGAACAACTGAAGCAATGCTGCGACATAGCTAGTAGTTGATCTGAAAAACTGAAAACTCATGCTATATTTCTAAGATTATTAAGAATAGAAAACTCCCCATTCTTAGCGCATTGTTCAACGCTGTGCTCACTGCAATTGCAATCGAGATGAAGTTACTGATGCTATTTTCACTGGAACGGTAACATGCTCTGCAAAAGCAAGGTTCGCTCTCGACTAACACTGAAAAAAATCGAGGAACAAAATGCTCAACTCACCAATATCCCGCACCAGCCGCATGCTCTTCACTTTCCCGTACCTGCCCATGGCCTGCTCCACACAGGGAACAGACGAAACAGCAGCTCCGACCGTCAGACAGGGAGGTCACAGCATCAAACCCAACACACCAGCAGCAAAAGAGACGAGAGAGACGCGCACCTTCCGGACCGTGTCGTCGTCGGTGAGGCGGGAGAGGTGGCCGACGAAGACCGTGCAGTAGGGGTCGCCGGCGGCCTTGGGGTCCCCGAATGGATCATCTAGAGAAAGAGGGGGGCAGGGGGGAAACAACAGATACAGAGTGAGTGAGCCGCGCAGCGTTGATGCGCGAATGGGTGAAGAGCGGAACGGGGGGAGAGGAGGGGGAGCGGGGCGGAGAGGACGCACAGAGGCCGGCGGTGGAGCAGAGGAGGGCGCGGAGGACGGCGTTGTCGTGGGGGGCGACGTCCGTGCCGTCGATGCTGCCCGCCTGGATCGGGTGGTACTTGTCCGCGTAGAACACCGCGCCTGCGCTCCCGCCGACGCTGACTCTCATCTCGCCGCTGACGCCGCCGACCGCTACCTGCCGACCAACCTGCGCCGCCGGTGGGAGAGAGAGAGAGAGGGCGAGCTGGGGGCCGCGGCTGCGCAGGAGGGCCAGGGGAAGAGATGGGCCGGACTGGACCGGATCGGCAGGTTGGCTCGGTCGGTGCAGCGGTGTGGTGTTCACAGCGTGGCAACCAGACCAAAGTAGGCAGTAGGCCAGCAGTTCGAACTCCAAACGATTTTTTTTTCTGCGAAGAACGAACTTCTTATTTTGGCGAGTCCAACAGTACAAGCTGCCAAATTCAATTTACGCATGTATTGCACTATCATCTCACCAGACACCGGCATTACAAGGCATCACAGGTGCACGGATAAATTCAATCCATCTACACGAGATCGATACAAAAGCATAAAATTCTCCGCAACTTCTGCGGAAAATTGCCTACCCAAGAGGCCAACAAGCAATAGTAGTACCAAGTCTCACATAATTTTGATCAGGCAAGCAGGTAACAAAAATGGACAATAATGTTACCATTTCTCACTTCTCACACCAACTTCGAGTTCAGCAGATTATACAAATCAATGGGTGTCAGCTCAAAATCACAATGGCAAACCCAGAAACATCAAGCCGCGGACCAACTACAACCTTCCCAAGTTCCCAAGTCACAGCATATATATACGACCCAGAACAGAGCTTATTATGGTGATCGCCAACCAATGCAGCAAGAGCACATCACTCGGCAGAACCACACAGCCCCGTTCTTGAACTTAGCAACGGTACTCTCGGTAAAAGCAAAACAACGCACACGCCAGGACATGCGTCTTAGCACTCATTTTTTTTACATACATCCTTGTTGAGCTGGACAGGTCAGGCGTCTGAAGTCGTTGTGTTAGGAGCGGCGGCTGGTGGAGCTTGAGGTTTCTGCTGAAGAAGGGGGGACAGCGCCTTGACGACGATGCTCATGCTGGGTCTGAACTCCGATTCGTACTGCACGCAGAGGGCTGCCACCGCCGCAAGCTGCATTCCACAGCAGATGAAACATTCAGTGTTCAAATTTGTCTCGAGCTGTTTCTTAGCTAATGACCATGTAAGAGAGGGAGCATGCAACATTTAAGGGAGGGAAGAAGAGAGGCAGACCTTGGCAACGCCTTTTGGGGGACACTCGCCCTTCAACCTTGGGTCGATACATTGCTTCACTGTATCCTCAGTCAAACGAGGTGTTGCCTGTGTCCACAGAAAGTAGCAGGAACCAATCAGAAATGTCCAAATCAGACCAGTTTGACTTGATCAAAATTCAAATTTTCACGTTTCAAATTTTTTTGAAAAAAAATACACACATACTTAGAGACATAAAGCATGTGTGTGTAAATTTTCAGGACGAAACACCTTAAAATGAGTGCTACACAAAAAGAACAAATCTGAGGCTTTTTAGTAGGAGCACTATTCATCCTCAAAGTCCATGAATTTGTCTTTTTTGCACAGATCGCATTTTAGGGTATTTCATCCTCAAATTTTACATACTTACACATAGCATCCTTGTTTACTTGTATGATTTTTTTCAGATTTTTTTGAAATTGAAAAATGCGAATTTTGAAATTTTCAAAAAATCCGGCCTCCATGGAGGCCGAGCTCCAAAACGCCCTACTCCAATCAGACAACTTAGAATAGTTTCGTTATGTAAATCGATAGTACAGGAACACAAAGCAGCACTAAATATAGTAAGCACTCTGAACCGGAGGACATAGATCAAGAACAGTAATTTTTGATTCAAATTCCTCCCATTTTCTATGCTTGTTTACATGATATTGCACTATAGTATGAGCATCTCTGAAGTTCAAACCGTTGACTACGTCGTTGTTAATGCCCTACTCTTGTTGCTAACGCATGCTCTCATTGTATTATGTAGAACAATATTATAAATTAAGCAGTTCTCTGTACCATTAAGTTTTAGTTGGCAAAATATAGTACTGTCAGATTGTTAGGAACCAAATACGTACCCATGTAACCAGACTCTGCTGGCCTCTAGGCATTGTATGATCTACTGGTTTCCTTCCTGTTAGAAGCTCTAAAAGAACAACTCCAAAGCTATATACATCACTTTTCTGAGTTAGCTGGCCAGTCATGGCATACCTGCATTGTCAAGGAAGGGCACTTCTTAAACAAAGCAAGAAAGAATATACAGTAATAATTAACAAAAGGTAGTGCAGTGGCAGATCTGCATATAAAAAACTAAAGAACTGGTGGAACTACAGCTATTCATTCAACTTGTTTAGCTATAATGAAGGTCGTCTGACTAATGCTACAATCCTATCATTGGTGCCTAACATAAAATGGAATAAACAGGTACTCCCTCCATCCCAAAATATAAGAACATTTTTAACATTAGCATAGTGTCAAAAACGTTCTTATATTCTGGGACAGAGGGAGTATCTTATAATAATAATTATGTGGGGATATCTCAAAATCTTGAAACAAAAAAAGTGCAAATATATTTAATGTGCAAGTATTCAAGTTTAGTAATTACTCAGGAGCATGATAACCGAAGGTTCCAAGGACACGGGTGGAATGCAAACGAGCAGCCATATCAGGAGACTGGTTTGAAAGATTGAAATCTGCAACTTTCGCTCTGTAGTCCTCAAATAGAAGTACATTGCTAGACCGTATGTCTCGATGGACTATCGAAGGTTGAACCTTCTCATGAAGATATGCTAGCCCTTTAGCAGCATCTATAGCAATTTTGACTCGCTGCATCCAGTCAAGTGCTGGGCCAGGCTGTGCACCAGGGACACCTTTTCTTCCTTTTGTATGTAAAAATAAAAAAGCAGAAAAGACGTCAGAGTAGATCAGACCACCATGCCACATGAACTGTTTTGATCATGAGGACCTCATGAAGACACAGGCTAACAGATTGCATAACATAGCAAGCATACCATGCAAAATATCATGTAGAGAACCCATCGTAGCAAATTCATAGGCCACCAGACGTTGATTTCCTTCCACACAGTAGCCAAGCATTTCCACAAAATTTTCATGCTTTAATCTCGACACAATCGAGAGCTACAACCAAAAGAGGAAAATAAGTTCAAGAATTGAGGATTGTAGTCATACAAAAAGTACTAGCAGATAAAGCTATCATAACTAGCAAAAGATGGTTATTACTCAGTACCTGTGTCAGAAATTCGTTATCAGGCTCAGGGTCTGCTGAGGTATCAAGCTTTTTAACAGCAAGATGTTTTCCGCTGTCTAGAATAGCATAATACACTCTCCCGTACGATCCTTCACCAATCAAAGCTTTTGACCCAAAGTTGTCGGTCTTTTCTTTCAGTTCATCAAGTGACAATTCAGGTATTTCAATGGGAGGAGGTGCCTTTGTTGGATCACTTTTGGAATCAAAACCATTTCCTGTTAACCATGTGTTTTACAAACAACATTAGGCCCCAATAACAAAAGCACAACAGGAAAACAGAGGATAACTAGAAAGCAATCAGATGCACAACACAATCCCTTCTGATAAACATTCATTTATAATGAAATAAATACCTAGTCCGTACATTACAGGGTTCAGCTGATAGGTAAGATAATCTGAAACGGTGTTGACAGATGACTATGCTGACAATGCACTAACTTGAAGTGAAAGAGCATGGTTTCACCTTCTTATCCATGTTTCCCTCACTTGTAACGTTAAAATCCTATATCCATTTTGGTGCTCATGCTAACTTGTTCTGCTACTCAATAGCAAAAGATTATCAATACATGCTGGGTGGAGATACTGCAATTTTTTTTCAACATGGATGTTAAGTTACTAGAAGAATTTATTGTTGAGGAAACACTATGTGATGTTCCAAAGCACATCCTGATATCATGGATACATTAAATAAACTGAAAGCGAACAAGATGATTCTGGAGAACCCAAAACAACTACATTCAAATCCAGCAACTAAAACTTGAGTTTGCACAAGAGTTTCAAACCCATTTCCAGGTGGTATTATGAGTATCGAACATAGGCCTCAAATCAATAAACTTGAATATAAGCTGATTAATTACGAGACAGCAGAAGGCAAAAAGGAGGAGGGGTACCTTCTTTCTCATCCGGGCTGGAAGGAAATTCATGTTCATGTTCACGATATGAAGCATGAAACTGGCTGCAACAAAACCACCGACGCATAATGACCTCCTTCTATTTTACTTCTTCCTATCTATCTGCCTCTGGTTCCTAAGAAAAATGGGGAAATACAAGAACATTCTGGCATCAATACAAATGCTTACAAGAGTAGCAATCTCAATCAGGACACTCATAGCCAGCATGAAAGTATCCGAGTGACAAAAACTATTACTCCTACATAAATTGTAGGCAATTCATGATAGGTCAAAGTTTTACATATGCACTGACTGGGAAATGGAGAAGAGGCTGGCACCAAGTTTTGACAATCAGTCCCACAAGTAAACACTCAGCGCCGTGTTGTGCCTTTGGTTCTTTCCACGGTTTTCGATACGAACACGTGATGAGCTGCAAGCTTTTATATATCCATGTCCTAAACTCACTAATGACATGGGCCATGCTCTTTTTTGTTTCACTGTTGACTCTATGTGCAATCTCATGCCGATTGCCAAACCACGAGTGCACGTTCATGCGTTGTCATTTTCAGTTTCAGTTTCTACCATAAGCTGATGGTGAAACAGTGCTTGCTGCAGAAACCTCAGTTAGTATCCAGCTCTGGACGTCTGAACTGAAAGCAGAAAATGGAGGCGAAGAGAAACAGGGTAGCTTGATGGCACCAAGTTGGACATGCTAGAACAAAGCAGAGCAAGCCAAGCTTAGACAGACCGGCGCAGGCAAGGCAATCTCGTGCTATTTCTGTTGGACTGTTTGTTTCAGTTTATGCGCAACCTTATGCTGATGGCCAAACTACAAGTGCACATTGTCTGCGTTGTCATTTCGGTTTCTAACATAAGCTGATGATGAACCAGTGGTGCAGAACCTCAATTACTACAATCCAAGAGTGGAAGTCTGAACTGAAAGCGGAAATTGGAGACGACGAGACCTCCCTGAACCAGACCAAGTTGGGCACCAAAGCGACGAGAGTGAAATGACGACGCCCCCCAATCAACCATGACAAGCAGCAGCAGGTGAAGGCGGTAGGCTCAGTCGCGCGCGAAGCCCCCTTCCCCCGCTGACCCCGCCGCCGGTCGTCCGGTCCCCCAATGCGCGCCGCACGGCTAAAATCCCCTTGGTGCGCCCACACACCAAATTCAGGCCAAAATCGAGCGCCATCCGCTGCCTCCTCCTGCCCCTCGAATCCCCAGAACCCCGCCACCTCGCTTCTACTCGGGACGCGGCCCGACCGACCATCTCAATTCTAACACAGCACAACTCCGCCGTACCGTTAAAGAAAAATCTAGCGAAGCATATGCACACATACAGCGGCAGGTCTCTCCCACTACACAAACTCGCCGCGCGGAAGGAAGGGAGGAAGAGGGGAGGAGCAGGAGCGTCACCTGCGAGGGGTCAACCCGGGAGGGCGGCTGGGCTGGTGACGTGCGGCGGGCCCGCGATCCGCGATCGGGGTCGGCCTCCGGCG